ACATGCAGAGAGACAGAGATGGGATTGTTACACTCAAAGATCTAAGTCTCAGTTTCCCGTCATGCCTGCAGAATCAAGTAGAAGCTACTGATCATTTTTTTCTGACCCGCCTTCTTCTGAGATCTGTAATGTCCTTCCGCCCTCCAGAGTACTGCAGCAGCTCCCTCAGCGCCAGCCCCTCTCCTCCAAACTTCTGTGCGTTCCTGCCTGCTTTTCTGAAGCTGCCCTTGTCTTTACCTGTGAGCTCCCCTTCTGAGACTTCTACCACCTGTATATCAGAAATGTCTGTAAACTGCCTCTGTGTTGAGTTGGTGAGGCCGCTGGCCGCTTACAGTATTCGTGCTGTGTAGGCATCGTAAGCCGTCCGTGTATAGTTTATAATGTACAGGGGAGTGTGCTTCGACTGCCTGCAAATGCTGTCACTATGCACAGGACTCAAGCACCATATTTTATCAGCTGCAGGAGGTCTTCAGAATACAGAACCGTCGGCACGAAAGGGAAGCTGCACTTTCCTCCTGTTTTCCTTTGTGGATGGCCTCTTATTGATGAAAAATTTGCACAAATGGACCCTCTACTATAGTGTAACTAACAATTTTCTCCTCCAAACCTTTAACACATTCTTCCTTTTCATTTTGTGTTATTATTGATCCTTTCAGAATTTTGTGGGCATGCACAGCGTGTTCTAACCCACCCTCACGTCTCTCTTCCAGTTCCTCTTGAAGCCCCCAGCGCCACAGTCTTCTTTCACCTTCATGTGCCCTTCTTTAGAAAACAATAATCCAGAATCCAAGTAGTGTGGCCGATATGCACCGGGTGCATGGCCTCCCGCTGGGCAAGAGCAACCTAGCTGTCCTCTGGAAGCCTTCAGCTTCTCTGAGCTCCTCCGCTCAGGCTGCAGTGTCAGCCAGCTTGATCTGGAGAATTTCTTGTGTGCGCATCCACAGTGGCACATGACACACGGGTGTCATGGCATCAGGTCTAGAAGACACCGCCAATGCCTCCTTTCTGTTCTTGTGTCTAGCACCCACGGTGTTGTGTGGCAACAATCTCTTCCTGATCTTTTCTCCCCTCACACCAGAAGCTTTTGGAGGCGGAATCTTTGTCCTCCTTGCCTTCATCTTCCTAGACTGCAGCTCAGAATCGCTTACCAGGAGAAGAGATAAAGTTTCTATTTATAACCTTATTGCCTACTATAACAAATGAGGAAGTTGGATATGCACGGACTAGAGGTTGTCTCAATAAAAACAGCTATCGAGTCAAGTCATACTGGGAATAGTAAAGGCTGATATTTTTGAATGACAGTTGAGAAATTCAACTACAGTTTCCTAAAATATGAAGAAATCTGTTTAGGCTGTTATTTTGGCGTGGACATTGTCACACTAAATCCAGGGCACATGCTCAAGTCAGATACTCCCGTGAAGCTGAGGAGAGGTGGACCCTGGCTCCCCCTCTCACCAGCTTTGGGGTGTGCTGTGAACTTTCCAGAAGAATGGAGGCAAAGCAGGTTTACTGAATGTCGGCAGCCGCAGGGGCTACATTTTGTTTGTCTCTGTTCCCTAGATGCCGCTTCGCTTGAACTTCCCCGGGAGACCAGCTCCTTTGCTGTTCCGTGTCCTCGTGGGGTTGCTGCCTGTGCCGAGGCTTGGTCTGCAGTCACTCCAGAACAGCAAAATCTGTCTGGATTGGCCACACTGTGCACTCTTGATTGAGTGGCCGTGGGCATCAGGTGTGCCTGGTAGATCAGAATGGCAACATTTGGAAATTTGACCCCAACCCCTTCTGTGCTCTGGCCGTGCAGATGAACAGCTGCTTCCTAGGCAAGGCGCTTCTGGGCTGGGCTGAGGTAATCATCCAACGAGTTCTTCCTCATGACCCGATGCTCAGAGTGAGCCTGTTCCATTACCTGCAGGGTCTGGCCAGCGTGGACATCTCTGCTGGTCACGTGACCGGTGTGGAAAATAATCCGCCTGTCATTCCCATGTCAATCATACCTGAATGACTGGTGTTTGCTAAGTTGCATCCCAACATGGCCCAAACTGACCCTTGTTTTCATCGTTTGCTTATTGCTTAAGAAATGAGGTGATAGGAGTGGGTAGCACATTTGCACAGCACTATTTCTGTCTTGCAAAAAGAAAATGTTTTTCAAATGATGGGTGGGTGAGACCTTCGACAGCCAAGAAGAGAAGGACTGAGTGTGGACTGGAGAATGGCGAACTTCACCTTGACATCGGGTGACACCTTGATAGCCGTCCCCCTTAAAAGTAGAAGCAACTGAGGAGAACTGGGGAATGAGCACTCAGTTTCATTATTCTCCGTGGCTGTCTAGAGCTTTAAACATCCTCTTGATCTTGAAGCATCCTGCCCATGGAATTCGACTATTTTAAGAAGTAATATGGCCATCTTTTCAACATTGAAGATAAGCTCATTTGTTCTTGTTGCTGCGCCTCTCTTCCCCATAAAAGGCTGCAATGCAGACACGTTATAACTTAGTATAGCTTTTACCTCATTATTTTATACTAGGGAATCTTAATTTCTAAAAATTTGATTTTAAAATTCAAGTAAGCTGAGCCTGGTGGTGCAGGCCTGGAAACACGGGTACCCAGAGGGTGAAGCAGGAAGATTTCAAGCCCTACCTAAGCAACTTAGTGAGACTTTGTCTGGAAATCACAAGCGGAGTGGACACTGTGATGATGTTTAGTGGTGAGTGCTTGCCTGAGAATTGATCTCCAGTTGCTCTGGGCCATCTTAAGCCAAAGCATGAAAAAAAAAAATCTGAAATTCTAATATGTAATTAGTCAGGATTCCCCAAAGACTTATACATCCCAATTCACAGAACATACTAATAACTTAGATTATAAGACAGTTGGGATACTGTGCATGACACTTAATTGGGTTCTTGAGATGGGAAGGTTGCAGGGACTAAGCTCATGGGCTTGGTGTCATCACAAGGAGCCTTTCTAGAGGGAGTTAATCATTGTCACAATCAGGAGAATGTTAGAGGCAGAGTGACAGGGCCACAAGCCAAAGACCATAAGCACAAACAGGGCAGATTCCCTCTGGAAGCTTTGAGAAGGAACTCCATCAACATTTTGATTTTCAGCCCAGTTAAATTTATTTTTAATTTGGACTCATGGAAGTATGATCAAATGGACTTCTAGGCACCAGTTTCTCCAAGTAGACTTAGGAGACAAGTACAGGCTGCCTTGCTCTCAAGAGTAGAGGGGTTAGGGACTGGCAGGAAGTGGAATCCTTCCCTCCCACAGGACGGCCGGGCTCCCGGAGAACCCCCGGGAGTGAGGGTCAGGTCTACAACAGCACTGACTTCCTGGGTGAGCACTTGGGCAGCGCCATTTGCTGGCTGGGAAGCCGTGAGTCCACCTTTGTTCTCTCCTTTGTGAAGTGGAGGTGATAATAGAACCTGCCTCATAAACCTGTTATGAGGATCGGCTGGCACAGCCCACACAGAGCATGTACTCGGTTCCCGGCTCCAGCAAAGCTTCTCCAAACACGAACCTGTGCTGGCTAAGCCCTCAGCTATGCGGAGGCTTTGCCATGTTTGTGGCTGCCCAGTTTTACTGGCTCACGTAAAAGGCTACCCTTTCTTTTGGAAACCACATGAATTAATTATACATTCCTCGCCAGTATAAATCTAGAAGAAGCACTTTCTTGTTCTGGTGCTTGTAACAATGTGTCTTAATGCAGGGTCTGTACAAAGGTGGATTGTTTATTGCTTTGTTTTCATATGAAAACATTTATGTGAGGAATCGGTCTGTTTGTTGCAGGGACACAGGCTTGTGTCCACCTGCTGGCTCTGATCCCCAAGCATCTAAGCTTTGCATTATTCAACCTTCCTGTGTCATGGGAGGAAGCTTTCCTTACGAGTGAATGTCTTGGGCAGGCAGAGGGCAGCATGGGCAGTGAAGGTGTGGCTTCGGGGCTGAACCACGCATGCTACGCCTGGCGGTGCCTTTGCCGCTCGGTTCTCACTCATTGGGAGCGGTGGCAGCTCTGTAGCAGCCAGTCTTTCTGTTTCTGCTTCAGCTCATCCTGATAAGGAAGTCCTGTGGCTCTAAACGGGGACCCGGCCTCTTCATACAGGATGTGGGGTGTGCTGTTACCTGTGTCCCACTACAGTTCCATCTTTGGGTTGCATTTGAGTTGGTAGGGGGAAATGCATGAGGACTGTGAGAGCCCAGCTTGGCAGCGTGCGGCTGATGTTCTTTCTCCCGGGTGTGTAAAGATGCCACGTCAAAGCAGCTACCGGAAGAGTGGTGGCAAATGTCTCGGTGGCCCCGAAATGGCGAGAAAAATGCCAGAGAAAAGGAATACAAACTTCGCTTACTTAGGAATTCTTGGGTCCTCCCTTGAATTTCCTAGAAATAGACCCGATAGACTAATGAAAACAACATCCAGAGGTCCAGACACAGTGATAAGGAAATGACTAAGTGGGTCCCGGGGATGCTCATGAGGCGCCATTGAAGATGGCGGATACCCAGTTATCTGGGGGACAGAGAGGAAGACTGGCAGGCGTGAAGCCAGTGCAACCTGAGAGAGTTTAGTTTAGTGTTTAATTCAAGGTTTTTAGATAATGTGGGAAGAAATTACTCACAGGTGGGAGGATTGCGTTTACAGGATGATAGCGGGCTTTCAAATTATTTTGGAGTTTTGAAATTGGGGAGGCTCAAAAGAGGGTTGATGGTGATGGTGACCACGGGCTGTTCGGAGAATATGGGTGTGGAACAGGCAGGCTAAAGAAAGCTGGATAGAGCACAGTGCTCCAAGCCACGGGTATTGATGAAGACATCCAGAGAGGGTGTTTTAAAGTTTACCTGCTAATCCTGTTCACTTACACAATCAAGGGGCCGTGGCCAGGAGGCAGAGGGATTATTTCAGCTCCCGGACAAGCAGAAGGCAGTGTGATTGTTTGGGGCTTAGCAGCTGACTTTGGTGTTGTGACTGGTTGAGGCTTTGTTTAAACAGAAGCCACACTTTCCCTCCAGAATCACGGCGTGCGCGATGACGATGAATAAGTACGTGGAAGAGAATGTGTCCCAGAAGTCCTACACAACCATCAAGTACTTCATGAAGATGCTGAGCAGCGTCAGCGAGACTCTGATCTTCATCTTCATGGGCGTGTCCACCGTGGGAAAGAACCACGAGTGGAACTGGGCCTTCGTGTGCTTCACGCTGGCCTTCTGTCTGATCTGGAGAGCGCTGGGTATGGAACAGTCGTTTGCTCAGGGAGAAGTCGGTGGTACTGACCCAACGGGACCTCTTTCTGTATTTGTTGCCTCTTTGTTTTCAGTTCTTCTTCCTTCTTCTTCTTCTTCTTCTTCTTCTTCTTCTTCTTCTTCTTCTTCT